TGAGGAGCAGCATCGGCATCTTGAAATGCCAGCGTTAAGCAGAAGTGACAGCCAGACATACATCCTTGTCGGGGATGTTTTGCTCTGTTGTGCCGCCTGGCGTAGTGGTGTAGTGGGAGTGTATTTACAGTGGGAGAAGTGCTCCAGACGCCTGGTGATCTAAGGCTTTGAAGTGTTCAGAGGCTGTAGCAGCAGGTAGTTCTCTGGGGACACAGCTGGGTGCCTTGCAGGTGGCTTTACAACAGCCTTGTGCATGATACAGAACAGCTGAGCCTTTTCTGCTCCTGCTGGGTAGTGTATTGTGGGGTAGAATTCCCCAAGGGCTTGAATTGCTTTATTGATTGTGAGGATTTTTCTGTTTTCATGGGCGTTTTTTGAATTTAAACCTGTTCTTCACAGATCATGTAATAAATGGATACAGTTAGAATTGATAATGTTTTTCCTTTTTGGAAGTGTTTGTTCTTCATAAATACGGAAAAAGAATTCACACTCCCTGATTGTTTTCTTTTATTATCGGGAGGTTTATGTGTTATATACACCCCGTGGCAGTATTACAAAAACACTGTATTTACAGTGTAAGGTGTATATAAGAGCCTAGAGCAACAGAAAGCTTCCCTACTCGAGTCGTGGAAGTCACCTTTCCAGCACCAGTAGTGTGCTAGAGCTTTGCCTGTCTTGCTCTGAATTCAGCCTCATTAGTTGTTTGGGATTTCTTTTTGATTTTTGTCTCTAAGTGGATAAATGCAAAGGGAAAACTGAGCTATATAGTAAGACTATGATCCTCCTCCATGGTTCTCAGTGATGAAAACCTTTTAAAACATATGAACACTTAGGACATCTGAAAGGGTCCTGGCTGTAAAGGAATCAGAATGGTCTTGGTGTATCTCCTGGAGTGATGGTGCTATGTAGGCTTCTGTTTTAATCCTTAACTTGCGCAGTCATGTAGCAGTGAAGGCACTTAATGAGGCTCCTTTTATCTTTGATGTCTAATGATGATAGTGATGCATGTTTTGGATGTGTTTATTTAGCTTCGTGCTTTGGAGTTGTGTATGTTTCATATTCACTGTTACTCACATGGCTTTTGGTAGTATGGGGTCTCTTAACTTCTCATTAATTTTCCATCTGCTGTAGAACTCATTTCTCATTTCTCCCATGAGGTATCTGATGTTATCTTACAAAAGTTTTGCATCTTCCAAATCCCAGTGATTCATACTTCCCTTTTTTTTTTTTTTTTTTGTTATTTTGTGAAAACTGAGTTTAACTCTGTCTGGATCTTTAGTTGTTGTTCTAATCTTGGTGATCCTAATCCAGTTTAGGACTAAGGCTGGTATTCAGAAAACGGTTGATGAATATGGTAATTTTGGATACTTAATGCAAGAGGCTAGTTTTGGTGAAAAGTGTCTGGAATCTTTCTAGAATAACTGAATTAGGTTTGTGTGCTTTTATGATACAGAAGAGCTGGTTTGAATCCTGTGTTTATTTTGACCAAGGTAGATTGTTCCTTTTGCGTAATCCAGGAATGGTTCTTACTTCGTGTATTTAGACGTAAAAATCAGATCATTAATTACTGAAGTAGCTGTAATTGCCTGTGAAGTTTTCCTTTCAGTGAGGTCCTTCTTCTGGATTAGGTATGAAAATATGGAAAGGATGCTTAAAAGTCAAACAACATCCATCCTTTTCCTCCTGCCCTTTTATTGGTATACTCAGAGTGGGTGGATTGCTTATTAATGAAAGCAGCTGTGGGTAATTCAGTGACCTGGCCTTGGCACTGTTAAAGGCAGTCATACTTTGTCATTAACTTCAATGGAAGCAGGGTTGAAACTCTTATTTGAGATTTCAAAAGTAGTTAAATTTAATACTGTTATGGGCTGGATATTTTACTATCATTTGTCTGGCTTCTTGATTTCTTGCACTTTTGTGTGTAAGTGGTGGTGGTTGTTTTTGTCTGAATCTGTGAATGTGTGCCTTACAGTTGGGTTTTGTTTATTCAGTGAGTAAATGTTTTTTCTATTGAAGTGAAGCCCTTGCCAAAGGTCATCTGTTAGCTACAGTTACAGATCTTAGTGGGTAGTAAATCTCAGTCCCATGAGAAATTCTTCCACCTTTTTCTCCTGGTATAATGTACAGTCAGTTTACACTGCTCAGAAAAATACAATAGTCTCTTCAATAACTTAGTAAAAACATTTTTTGTTTTCACTGTTCATTCACCAATTTTATGTGCAAGGAAACAGCTACTACAGAACTATGTAAGAAACTATTTATTCCCTTATTCATTGTAGTAAGTTAGTTGGCATGGAAAAAATACTCATTGTAATACATCCTGAGGAAGGCTGGCTGTGTTTGAGTTGTCCCTTGTGCATGGAAATATTATGTAGCATACTTTCGTATAGCCCTTTAAAAAAGTAATTTAAAATGAAGATTCTGTAGTTCTGTGGCTAAGAGTTGACCTTTCCTGTTGCGTGGAATAGTTAATTAATCCAGTGGCCTAACCCTTTTGTACATGGACGGCATCTAAAATAGAAGTACACATTTAAGACACTGTTTTGATGTGTAGCATCTGCAGAGGTCACAGTAAAGAAATGGAGATGGAATATATGGTAGGGATTATTTTACTCCTGGCCTTAGTAGCTTTTCTGTGGCACAAGGGACACCTGGAAATCCATCTTTTAATACTCACATTACAAAAAAAAAAAAAAAAAAAAAAGAGGCCCATCCACTTGCTTACTTGTTTCCAGTTTCTGATAAGTTGTCATCAGAGCTGAATTAAAGCATACGGGTAAAGATCCAGAAGTACATCATGCTGCTACTGCTCTAATTTTGCTGGATGCATTCATTACTTGGGAACAACTGTATTAAAGCCTCCAGACTCACCAGCTCTTCTCCCGCAGAAACTTCGGAATCAAACACCACTTTGACGGGACAAATTACCTTGTAGGCAGGCTCCGTCCCCTAGGTCCAACAGTGTGCAAAACACTCAGATCCACAAACAAATAGGGAATTTCAAAGCGTCTGACTTGCTGGTGCAGTGGTCTAACTGGCTGCATGCCTCAGTGGCAGATAGTTGGTCGGATATTAATGTCTTGCTGATGGGGAGTATCAGAACCCATGAGAACTGAATACTAATCTGTGCCAGTATGTATGTGGTCTGTGTCTTCTAGTGAGGCTGCTGATTAAAGAAATCACATCTGTCTGAATGTTAAAATGTTAATAATTGTTATATTGCAGGAAAAAATCTGTCATGAATTTTAGCTGTATATCTGACACTTATTCCTCTGACTTTTTTAGATTGAGTTTAGTTACAGGCTGATAGGATGCTCAGAAGGAGTTTATACTGCTGCTTGTGTTTTTTCTTTAGTTTTCAAGAGAACGTCTAAGTGGAATGGTCTTGGGAATCTGGCTTTCTACACAGATTAGTAAATAGCATTTGATCACTTTTTTCCTTTTTTTTTTTTCTCCCCTTCATAAAAATAGAAAATTGTAATTGTAAAATAGAGAGGCTTAGGAACGTGCCCAGGACACTTCAAAAATCTTTCAAATCATCAACGTCTAATATAAAACACTAATGTTTACTTAAAATAATGTTTTCTGTATTCTTACCTAAGAAGATAAGGTTTTTAGCTGTTTGCTGTGTACCTTGCCTCAATTTTGACCATTATGCACATTCTGCGTACCATCTGTTATCATTGCTGTGTTACAGAGTGATTTTTGTTGGGACAGATTCCTTAACATACTCCTAACTGAAAAGAGAAGTCAAAAGTGTAACTACAACATAACAAATTGTGATGACGATGTGTTACTCAGTCGTATCTTTCCAATGAAAGTCTTGGACAGTCACTTCACTTTGAAAATGATTTCTGTTTTTAATAGAGAACTTGACCTATCCTGTGCAATCTGTATTTGAACAGTGCTTTCTGATCCCCAAGGGGTTTCTGCTGGCTGATGTGAGGTGATGCTACTCTTACGAACTGTAACTTTAAACTTTTTACTCCTGGCATCTCTGTGCACAGAGCAGTGTGGGAAGGCCTTTGCCTTGTTCCGTTTTATTTGTCTACAATTAATGCCCAGAGTTGCAAAATCTGTGTTCGTCCTTCAGAGTTCAACGCGTAGGTCCTAGTGTCCCTGTCATACAGACCTTATTACAAGTCCTCCATCTCTCCAACCCATAAGGATTGACCGGCGTTTTTTTCGTCACTGCTGTGTAGTTGGCAATGGAAAATACCTGCCGTACCTGTAAATCTTACTGAATTAAAATTCGTTGATTTGCACGGGTGTGATGTACTCCCATATCAAAGTACTACCTTGTTAGCAGAGTGTAGGTTTTTTCTCTTTTGCCTTTTCTTCTGTTAAAATATTTCTGAAAGCTGACAGATAGTCTGTCAAAAGGCTTCAAGGCAAAAAGGTATAATTTGTTTGGAATATAATGAATGATTATGCAGACCAAAATTGTACAACCACACCGAAAGATTTGCTCAAGAGAAGAGACCACAGCTTGTTTTGTGGGCTCTGCTCTGTGTGCATGGCAGTGTGCTTCATTTTGAAAAGGCTTGCTCTGGTAAAAATTGGGTAACCGATACAGATACTTAGGACATGACTACATTAGCTTCAAAGAGTACATCTCAGGCTATCAGCAGACTTCCTGGTCAGTTATTAATCTGCAGAAAGTCGTTTATTGATACTCAGGGGAAAGCATATTATGAGGTAGGTTTCTTCAAATACTGGGTAGAAAGCCAGTGAGTGCAGTGCACCGATACATGCATGTATCAGTAGAAAATTATGAACAAAACAAAACCAGGAGAGTGATCACAGAAGCTTACGACTGAGTAACTTTTATTTTCTGGCTAATTTTGAAAGAGTCTTTTGAGGTTTGTCATAGAAGCCTGACTCTGGCTTGCCTTGCTCGTTTAGTCAAGTCAATTGGCCGCTATGGGTGTGCGGGGAGAGCACAGCCTTTTATTGAGAGATGGCAGCAGTGTCTGCAAATGACCATTTCTGTATCCTAGGTCTGTCCACTTGGTCCCAGCATTCCAGATCTCGACATCGGAGGACTTCATGTTCCAGACAAGAAGATCGGAAACCTTCTGAGGTGAATTTGATTTGCATTTCATTACATCTATCAAATACAAAGCTGTACACATGTTCTGGTAATGGATCCATTTCTTCTGATTTACATTTTCTTTTTGCTACATTTTAGCTGGCACGTGCCCTCCCACTCCCCACCCCGTTTTTCTTTTTTTTTACATTTACTAGGAGGTAAGAAAGTTTAGCTGTTCACGCAGCCACTGCCAGCACCAGTTTCTGTCCCTGAATTTGGTTATAGTCTGACACCCATTCAACACAGCTGTGGAGTCTTTCTTCTAGTATTTTAGGCATCAGGCTTTATTTGTAGCTTGATTTGTGAACAGTGAAAATTTACATTAGGTGCATTTATTTCGTAGTTGGTGTTGGGTCTTGGTGTGTGATCTTTGTTAAAGTGCTTGTCAAACTAGAAATCCGATGCCTGATAGTTCTGTCTTGTGTACTGCTTTGAGGAAATCCTATCAAGGGAGATCCAAATCTTCCAACTTTCCAGAATGGATCAACTGTTAGTAACATATAAATGCAATCCAATTCTTTGGAAATATTCTTGCTAAATCTCCCTATCTTCAGGCAAATACTTATACTGCAGACTTTGTAGAGGCTACAAAGAAAGCATTAGCTTTGGGAGATGGAATTTCTTCATTTAACTTAATTGCCCAATACGTGTATTTCTGATGCATGAGTGAGTGATTGATGCTGAGAGAAAAGACATGCATAATCTCCCCAGTGATGGGATACCTAAGGCCCAGAGGAGAGTCTTCACATGAAGAATCCCATTCATAGTTCAGTGTGAACTACAGCTAGTACTGGTGTTTTCCAGTCTTCTTTTTTGATTGTTGGCTGTTAAAGACTTTTTTTTCTTCGGTGAATTTATTCTTGCTGATGGCAGGCTTGTTTTCCCTAGTTATCTTTTGTACATCCCATAGAAGTAGGCCCTTAGGCCCAGTTTTGAGAACTACCTCATGAAAGGCTATCAAGAAATAATCTGAGATAATTATGAATCTTGCAGTTTGTTCTTGTTTTGTGTTCTTCTGTTTTCTTTTCTCCCTTTTCTTGTAGTTGTTGTCAGAATCTTTGCAGTTTTGTGCTGTTCTCTCCTGTTTTCTCAGCCTGGATTGACTTCTCATGTACTTCCCTTTAACTCTGTTCCACAGTCTTTCCCCCCCCTCTCCCCCCATCCCTCCCTCCCTGTGCGTTGTCTCTGCTAGCCACAGCACGCTGTTCTGGTGATGTGTGCTGGCAGAAAAGTGACACTTGCTAAACTCCCCGGGTAAAATCCTGGTCTCATAGAAGTTGGTGGCAAAATTCCCATTGACTTCAGCGTGGCCAGGGCTTCACCCTTTAGCTTTGAAGTGTTCAGTGCTTCTGAGAGCCAGCACTTCTGTAAGCCCTGCTTTGCTCCAGGCAGTCTGATTGCATCAGAAATTAGAGCAGAAAGAATGGTGTCACAGGGCCACTGGCCTGGGAAGGAGTTTCTTGGCTGTCAGGTGCTTCATTAGCTTTGCTTTTGAGGGAGTTTTGCAACAGATTTATCTGAGAGCCTGAGTTACTTTGACTCTCAGATAGAGCAAGTTTTTCATCCCATTTTATGTTTTTAGTTTTCTTTCCATTTGACATTTAACTGCTTTAATTCAAATCCCTTCAAAGTGCAGAATCCCCTGGCCAGCTGTGCTTGTTTGTTTTGTGAGCCGGTTTACTTTGTGGCTTGTTTTCATTTCTTGATTGGAGCCTCCCAGGACTTGTAATTTGATTGTTTAAAACATTTCATTATATTTCATTACCTGCATTCACCCTTTCCTTCATATAGTAATATTATTCTTTATTTTTTAACATTGGCAGTTTTTCTGAACACGTCAAGACAAGTGTTAAGAAAAACGTCATGATTTTATACTATTTTTGTGACAAAACCAGAGTGGAAACAGAAACATACTGAGACAGAAGTGGGATAGTATGTGTGTTGGGAGGGAAGAGAGGTTTCAAGATGTGCAGTGTGGTAAGGCAAATCACACTCTGAAATATTCTCAGAAGTATAATTAACCATCAGGTTCACTGTTTCCCTAAAATACTTCCCAGAAATCGTAGGGAATCTGTCGAGATTTCAGGTGTGTGAACAGCGTATGACAGAAATCACTGTCCTGGGGAGGCCTGCCTAGTTAGCACCTGGTATAGATCTGGTGCCTCCTCGGCCATATGCAGCAGTCGGCTGGAGCTAATGTCAAACAGCCAGTGTCACCAGTGGTTTGGGACTGGGTAGGAGACAGGGAGGTTGTGTCACTTTGCCCCATTAGCAGCCCCAGAAGAGTAAGCACTGCCCTGATAAGGAAGAAGTTTTTTGCAATGAGGATGGTGAAACACTGGAACAGGTTGCCCAGAGTGGTTGTGGTTGCCCCATCCCTTGAGGTGCTCAAGGCCAGGTTGGATGAGGTTTGAGCAACCTGATCTAGTGGAAGGTGTCCCTGCCCATGGCAGGGGATTTGGAACTAGATGATCTTTGAGGTCCTTTCCAACCCAAACCATTGTGTGTGTGTGCTTGACCATGGCAGGGGGTTGGAACTACATGATCTCTAAGGTCTCTCCCAGCCCAAATCATTCTGTGATTCTATGATAATCTGTCTTTTCCTTTGTAACTCTGCAACGTGGGGCTGGGTGGATGTTGACTGCGGACTGAAAATTCTGCAGGGGAACTTTTCTTAAGATGTTACCTATCTTTTCTTGTCCTGGTGGTGCTTATTTTCTGTCACCTGGTTGCTTTTTAACCCTTTCCTTTGGATGTGGTATTGAGGAGTTAAAAATTTGCAGTTGTGGAGGTGAGGATTGCTGAGTGCAATTGCTGTAGTCTACAGCAGCCTTACTTTACAGGGAGAGCTGGGTGGGGAGAGCTGGAATATGCATAAACAAGTGCAGGCTTGTAGTTCTGGTGCCTGTGATAGCACCCTTTGCTTTCTGCAGTGCTGACAGGCAGTGGCAAACCCAGCTGAAGCTGCCGCAACGGTTCCACAGCACGCCCGCCACAAGAGTGAATGAATCCCTTTTTATTTCATTCTGTGACTTGTTGAAGAAAGCATCGCTGCTTGGTTATGGCTACTGACCCCAGAATTACCCAACATCCTGTTTATTTTAGAGGTGGATGCTTTTACAAAGGCAAAGTAAAATTACAGCTGTGATGCAGAAGTGTCTCGCTGATCGAATGACAAGCACCTGTGCTGAACATGAAGCTGCCACCAGAATTCCAGTTTAGGTCTTATTTTATTTGATCTTTTGGGTTATTATTTTAAATACTTGCACAAAGAGTCATCTCCTTAGAATTTCCTCTTGTGGCTGGTCATGGTAGAGTTACGCCTTGATTTCTACCACAGGGAATTTCTAGAATGTCTTTGGATTAGTCAGAGCTCCAATAATTTAAAAAAACTTAAAAAAAAACTTTTAGCAAAATTAAACCTTCCTCATGCTGCTCTTTTAAGATGTAAAGCTCCTGCAGCTTTTATTGCTGCCAAAACGGAGGTGAAAGTGGGTGGCACCTTTTAGCATCATGTCTCTAGTGCAGGACGAGTGCCAGGACTTGTAGTGGAGTTAGCTGGAAGTCATTCTGTCAGTATTTGCACCTTCAGCTACCCCTTTTGTCTGTGATGAAGCTAAAACTTGTGTCCTGCAGTGGGCCGGGTTAGTTCCCTGTTGGTACAGTGACCTTGTTACACACTGTGCTCCATGGTTACCCTGAAGCTGTGAATCATAGAGTGTAAATATCAAATGTCAGTGTCTCTATTTTTCTCTCTTGGTCACTCTCTTTGCAGGTGTTCAGAACGGACCTGATCACTGCCATGAAGTTACATGACTCCTTCCAGCTGAACCCTGATGAATACTATGTGCTGGCAGACCCTTGGAGGCAGGAGTGGGAAAAGGGAGTTCAGGTGCCAGTTAGCCCAGGGACCATCCCAGAACCAGTAGCCAGGTATAGTTTGGAGGAATATAAACAAATACATATACGTCTGTGCTAGCAGCTTGTGTCTACATTGCCTTGGCTTCTTGAGCTTTGTTCCACAGTGTCTAGCTAGAAAGGTCTTGGTCTTCAGCTTAAGTGCAACCTGCCTCAGCTTTCTGAATGGTTGGAGAGGTCCAGAGTCAGGCCTGTTCTGCCTGTGTGTTGAAATACGAGTGTCGGAGAATCGTTTTTGGCATTACATTAGGATGGAGCGTGATGACAGGAACCTTAAAAATAGCTTCTATATTTAAGCCCAGACTTGACCTCACTCAGCATTGCTGGGAGAGCCCATGTCTGATGCTTCTTGTGCTTAGTTCCAAGCTGTAGGTTCCTTTCAAGGAACAGTTAGACAAGCCAGATTTAAGGGCTAGGGAAAATACAGCATTTATTTTGGTTTCATGTTATTTTTTGAGTTGTTTCATTTACTAACTTAGGAAGTTGTTTGTTGTACAACAGTTCAGCTGTTTTAAGTAAATAAATACGTTGATGTGAGATTTTCTAGCTCTCATCTAAGAAACCCTTATTTTCCTTACCTTGTTTCTTACACTTAGATACTGTTTTCTGTTTCAAATTAAACAGTACAGTTGTAAAAGCAGGAGTGTGCTGCAGCCCATCTATCCTATGCTTAGTTGGGATTGGAGTTGGAGAAAGTGACAAGAACAAGGATTATTGCCATTTAATCACACTAGATCTCTTTCAGTAAGTCCAGGCTGGCCCATAAGGCGTTACCAAATGACCCACCAGTGCTGGTGGGGCCAGAAGAGCCCAGTCTCTGATACACAGCAAAACATTCTGAGGGATGCTACACTGCTGCTGTTAGGTCTGCATCTGCCAGCTTTAACCTTGGAGTAGGGGGACTACAGGAATGTTTGTTAGCACTTTGTGTTCTGTGCAGAAACCTGCAGCCCACTGCACAGCCCCACTAGGTCTGGATGATGAGGAACTTAGCTGCACATCAGGTAAACCCGCTCCTTCCTTCTAAAGGACTGGACCTGGAGCTCCAAGGAGAACTTGGCATTTTCCTCCATGCTGTGCAGTTTAGAACATGGGAGCATACTGTTTCCCTGCAGTGCTCGTTGCCTTCTCCATGCTGACCTCACCCAGTCCCTGCATAAATGCACACACATTGTGCATGTGTGCTCACCTGGTCTTCTCCTCACTGCTTTCTATTTCAGGCATCTCCCAAGGCTGCAGGAGGGCCACAAGACCTGTGGGCTTTAGCAGAGGGAGACCTTCCAGGGGATTCCCACCCCATATCTTTCAGGAAGGTGGTTTGTGGCTATAGTGGATCCAGGTACTCGCTTAGGAGCAAGAGCTTTTCTCTGGCAATGGCCAACAGAGAGGTTGCTCCAAATTTAAGATGTTAAAGGTGATAAGGAAAGAAGGCACCCAGAGTTGTAGGTATCAGCACAGGAGGCATCACTTTTTTAGTTGCTGAGCTGTCTTATGGTCCTACTGGAGAGCACCTGCTGGTTGGAGAGACTCTCTGATGCCTGATTATTATCCTGTTTCATCCCTCACAAAACATTTGAAGAGTCCTGCTGTGGTGGTGTTGGAGTGCTAGAACTGTTCTGTGCCTGACTTTGGGAGGGGAGAGAGATGTTTTGTAAATTAAATCAGCAATAGTCAAACAGTCGCTGGTGTAGAACAGAAGCAAAATACAGTACACATAGCTGATGCTAATGAGGTACATAATAGAGAATAAAAGGTTTTGGCCTTGTAGTGACTGGTCAGGGCAGCAAGAGAGGTTCAGGGGGGTGGGGAAAGGAGCAAGTCTGTGTCAAGATTCAGCGTAAGCCTGCAGTTGGATGGATAATTCAGTTGAATGTGGTTTTTGGTATGTAGTAAGCATTGCTTTTTTTTTCTTCTTTCTGTCACAGAAGTAAAGAGATGAAGGTGGTTTGTTTTGAAGCCAAACTACCTGTGCTTATTTCTTCTGTGCCACTACAGTGGTATTTAGACAGCATGTGCAGGGCGCTGCCCAGAGGTTGTGATTTCCACATAGAGAGGTACTCAGGAAGGAATTTATGGTGCAGAAGATTTCGGAGCGCAGTGCCCAGTTTAAAGTACATTCTTTGTGAGATGTAGTAGTCTGTAATATTTTAGTTGTGTGCAGTACGGCCGGGAACAGTTTGGGTAATGCAGTTAGGCTGGCAAGGTCATTCAGGTTTGTATTTTTCCACAGTGCCCATCTGTACCTCAGAAGCCCCAAATTCAGCGTTTGTCTCTTGCCCACCATTTCTCAGATTGTTGTCTGAAGTAAGCTAGGTGAGGGGAAGATTTAGAGCTGTGCAGGACCCTGAGATCTATGTGCACATGCAGTAGTGGCAGATCAGGGTCTCCTCACAGGAGGAGTTAGTTAACATGTTGGAGTCTCAGTTAACTCAGATGGGGGCAAAATATGATGGAGAATGTCCTGCTTGTTGTGGAGCTTAGGCTGTTCCCAGCAGGAAGTTGTGTCTACATGGGGTGGTGCTGTCTCCTTCCTTTTAGCACTAGAGCACCAAAAAATCCTCAACACTGGTGCTGCTGGAGGCAGTCGTTTGGCGGCATGGCCTGTCACTCCTGAAGGTACCAGCGTTACGTCGTGAAGTGGGTTTCATCCAAACTGAATTTCAGTTTGTGCAGTTAACTAAGAGAAGGTGCGATGTCCTCTATTGAAAGAACTGCCCTGTAGGTGGAATGACAGTTATCTTTCTGTTCGGAGGCAAGTCACCAGCTTGCTGGTAGAATGGCTGCTGTCCTTTGTGAATTGGGTGGTTTGGTCCTTAGCTCCTGGCTTTGCAAAGTTGCAGCATTGTAGAAGTCTGACCTAGAACAAGTTATATGCTGTAGGTACTTTACCGTTTCCTGAACTGATACTTGTGGTCGAACAAAATTCCAGTTGGCTTGCAGCTAAAATAGACTTTCATGGTGGTTGTTGGCCAACTGGAGCCTCCAAAACCTGAGAAAAGCGAGTTTCAGCAGCAGCTCATTAATATTTGCGCTTGGTCCAGCATGGCAGTAGTGATTGTGACAGGGGAAATGCAGACTCAGAATGTCAGAGCTTGGATCTGCTTGGGTAAGTGAAGGTGAAGCTAGTGCAAAGTACTGATTCTCTGTGGAAGGGTCTCCTGAATTCCACAAAGATGGCAATTCTGTAGCTACACAAGCTCCCCCAAAAAGTTCAGAAGAAATATACTTTAAGAAAGAAAACTTCAAATGTAGCAGGAAATACTACTTTTTTCCTTGAATTTTCTTGATCTTGGTATTGTAGTTAAACAGATTGATTTTTAAAAAGTCTTAAAACAGAGTTTAACATCTGTGTATATAACAGCCATCACTACATAAATAGTGTCCCTGCTCGAGCTTTAAACATGTGAATTTCAGGTACGAGTAAGCACAGCTCTATCCTCTAATATTTCCATTTTATTTAGAATTCTGGTAATGAATTTGGTTTCTGGACAACTCTAATTTCTTACAGTATCGCCAATCCATTATGAAAGTGCACTGTACTGCTTTCCCATCTCAGTGGTGCAAGGTGATGGCTTAGATGGTTAGATGATTGCTGAGGATGGTTAGTCACTTAGAATGAGGCATTTTGAATTCTCTAGAAACAAGTCTGTCAGCAATCCAGCATACCTGACGTCTGCCTGTCTGTTTGTTTTAGGATTGTGTCCGAGACTAAAGCTGTCACGTTTACCCGTCCCAGGAAGTACATCGTTTCGTCAGGTTCGGAGCCTCCCGAGCTGGGCTACGTTGACATTCGAACCTTAGCAGACAGCGTGTGTCGCTACGATCTCAATGATGTGGATGTAGCGTGGCTGCAACTTGCCAATGAAGAATTCAAGGAAATGGGTGAGCAATGAGCAGTTGTGGTTTTGTTGCCTTTTTTTTTTTTTTTTTTTTAAGCTGACAATCTTAGGAATAATTTTAGGGAGGACAACAGTGGGAAGAGGTGATAAGAGTTATGAGTAATCACATGAGTTGGGGTAGCCACGGGAAACCAGATTAAGCCATAAGTTACATGTTTTCATAACTTGTATGTTGTATGTACTTAGACCAGGTCAGAATCTGGCCATGTGGTTCTCTGCTGCTTTCCATTTCAAAAGGGAATTCTTACAAAGTTCCCATTTTGCGATCAAGGTCCTTGAAAAGAACATGATAGACCATTCAGGTAGTTTTTCCAGTTAGTTCTGGTTTTATTTATTTCTTTTTCTCTGTGTCACATGTCTGTATCATTGTTTTAGATAGTGGTGGTCAGTGCGAAGAAGGTAGACAAGGAGTCTTGGGAGTTTTAGAGAACGTATCCCAGCTGAATTGTGCAGGGAATGAGATAGTAAGGAATTCCTGCAGTAATTTATTGGAGGAACCTCCCAAACCTTACTGTGACTGTGTGCTCCAGTTGTGAAGCAGGAAGAGGAGCTGTCGCAAGGGGAGCAACTGTTCCCCTTTCTACAGGATAGCTTGTGTGTGGGAAGGAGGACGGGAGGAGGGCAAGAACAGGAACATTTATTTGGTAAGGTGTGTGCTTCAGGAGAGGAGTTCAATGGAATTGCAGAGGAACTTTTACCACGTTGTTTAGGTAAGGGAAAAGATGCTGTGCCAGATGGAAGAGGTTTGGACATGTTGGTGAACACTTGATTCCTCTTTTAGCACTGTGGCAGTTCCCTGCTTTGGGTTACAGTTTAGTCATACGGGTTTTACCTGGCAGTAGCCCCATGTGTGGCATGGCTCCAGACCTGGTAAACCACAAACTGACCATTTGTAACAGATTCTCCTTTTTAAACCCACATATGGAAGAAACAGATGACCCAGCCTTGACCTGGTCTGCTACCCAGGCCTTTTTTCTAGATCTTGAGTCAGGCCTGCTCAGGTTTACTGTTGGGCTTGGATGATTTCAAAACAGTTGATGATTCAAGAGGTTAGGTTACCTTTGCAGTTACCTTCAGCAAAACAGCAGCAGCAAGTCCCCTTAGCTCGCTTCAAAGAAAAATTAAAAATACTTCTTACGATTTATAATTGATATCCATCTATCCAGTGTAGATAATCCCCTCTGTCTGTCTCTTTTGCCAAAACCAGAGGAGGGCTACCACGCTGGGGTGTGAATAGCGTTAGTGATAAAGCGCACAAGAGGGGCTCTTGACTGTGCAGATGCGTACCTGTGCAGGAAGCCCTGTGGTAGCTGTTTTGCTGCACCAACATAACCTTCAAAAGAACATCTCGCACCTGAAACAATGAACAGCTAGAATTTGACAGACCTGATCTTAGATGTTGTGTTTTGGCATGGTTTCTTGTAGTTCGTTTGCTCCAAGTCTTTATCCACTCAGTTTGGCTTTACACAGAGGGAAGGAAATGCTCCTGCCAGTGCCAGGCAGTGTTGGGAGTTTTGAAACATGTACCTGGGTGCTCTGTCAGCCACCGTGCTCTACAGGTGCTATTAATGGGCATTTGAAAAGTGAACTGTTTCCTGATCTGCAGCTGTAGCACTTTCTTTATGGTGTCCCTGCAGCTGTGAATTCCCTGTGTTTTCTTTGATACCTGTTGGAGTTCTTCAGGTACTGAAAAATGTATATTCTGTCTTCAAAAGAACAAATGTAAACTTTTGAACTGAAGCCACAGCCCCTTAATTCCCTTTTTTAACCCTTACAAATGCACAGTCAATGACATATCTCGTGTTTTTTTTTTTTTTAATAAAGTGATAGCGATTGTGAGGTTAGAATTTAGCTGCAAAACGGTCTAAAATCTGACATCATCTGCTTTGATGGTGCAGTATTTCTGGACCGCAGGGCAAAATTCACTCGCTTTCATCAGCAGGATTTTGGATGTTCCCTCCTACTACTTTTCAGCTGCTCGGTTTGGGTTAGTATGGGATGCATTGATCTCTGCTGCAAGGGTTTACCTGTCAGTAAGGGAAGCTGGAAGTGTTTCTGTAGAGTGTGTGTTGATCTGAGGGAGCTAGAGAGGTTTTTTTCTTCTTCCTTTTGTGGAATTTATGCCTCAGTTATCCACAGGGAGAGCCAAAGGGAGGATTCTCTTGTTAAAACATACATCGTGAGGTTGCCACCTTCTGTATGTCACAGAAAATGTTAGGTGTTGGGAATCAGACCAAAAGCAGGACCTCCTAAGCCTGTGCTTCATTGTAGCGATTTAAGTATGTGGATATTCTTGTGCTAAACTGACTTGGCAAGAGGAAGATGGCTGTTTGCAGTGGTATAGCTTTCTTGGTTTCATGGGTGTTTGTGTGGTATGATGTTGTAGTTAGAAGTTGGTGCTACACCAATCTTTAAGTGTTACAGTCACCTCATTGGCATGGCAAGTGAGAGATGAAGCCAGAGGGGGAAGCACTGTGCTCTTGTTTGATATATTTCTCGCTGCTTCTATGATAGATATTCTTTTAGGTCTGTAATAGTAGTTTAATGTAATTAACAAATTTGGATTATTGAATACTATAAAGTCATCAGCCTGTAGCTGTGGTGTCATGAATTGTTTTGTAATGGATGCTGTTTGAAAAGACCAAATCCCAGATTAGATGTTGCGTTTATTTATTGTCCCAGATTTGTAGTTGCTTTTATTACAGCTGTGTTTTTTGCTTTGTAAAACAAACTTAACTTATTGGTGTAGCAGAGTCTGATGGAGACCTCAGTTGGGGTTGCACCGTTTTGGGTTGGAACTTGTAAAAACCAACAACTGTTGTTAGAAACTGTGTTTGCTGCAAGTATCGTAGCAGATTTTGTCTTGATTTCCCCCCTCTACCCCCATCACTTTTGGTTCAAAGCACTCTCAAATCTTTTTACCTTTTATCTAGGTTTCAAAATTGAAGCAAAAGCCATAGACAATGCCGTCCCAGAAAGAAAAATGAGAACAACATGAGGAAGCCAAAATCAGTTTATGAAAGTTTTTCTCAGGATTTTGAAAGATCAGTTTGGTGGATACTCTGCTTCTGTTAGTTTAATACAATTAAAAGACTTGACTTTTTTTTTTTTTTTTACAGTTTACCTACTTTATGCTGGAATAGGCATGATTTTTAGAAATGGCATATGTACGTGAGTGGGTCAGCTCTATCTACTCAGTGTTAAAAAAGAAGCTGACTTTTGCGTGGTGATGGTTGTCGCTCTTATGTTTAAAAAAGTAACAACTCCTGTTTCCCAGGGATGCCTGAGCTGGACGAGTACACGATGGAAAGGGTCGTAGAGGAGTTTGAACAACGATGCTACGATAACATGAATCATGCCATCGAGACGGAAGAAGGCCTTGGGATTGAATATGACGAAGATGTTGTCTGTGACGTCTGTCAGTCGCCAGATGGTGAAGATGGCAACGAAATGGTGTTTTGTGACAAATGCAATATCTGTGTGCACCAGGTATGGCGGCCAGGGCACAATGGGAGAGTGTATGAGTGGTGATGGAAACTTTTCCAAACCATTAAAGATAACAGGTTGGATTTTTTCCAGTGACAGACATTGATCTGTTAAGTTCTGCCAGAGTTCACCATTGAGTGGTGGGATGAATTTAGAAATTATGTAATTGAGAAGTATTGTTACATGCTACTCTAGAAATGTCATGCTAAGAGGGTTAAACGTGGTATTGTGTCTGTGTGGAGGAAGTTAGAGGGTGAGGAATAGCCTCCTCAAAGCATACTCGTGTCTTGTTGTACATTCTCACCTGCTTACTTCTCTTGCTATATTCTTTTCCTCTTTCTGCACGCTTCTGGGGCTAACACACCTTTAGTATCAGCCACCTGGGCTCAGCAGAGAGGGAAAAAAGAACTTTCAGGCAATCAGTAGGGACACAGGTAGGATTTGTTACAGTTATTTTAATTTAATGGAGAACCTACCGACCTGAGCTGAGCTAATGAAGCACCATTACATGCCACCTTTTTGTGGCAGTTGAGAAGTCTTAGTGTGAAAGAACAGATGCAATTTTAGCTTATGTGTTTCTGTGGATGCTTCTGACTGTGGCAGATGCCTTCCTATCAGCCTGTCCTTCCTTCCCAGCTTTAAGAAGTTTGCTTTGTCATTGAGTGTTCGGAAAACTGTTGTCCGATGAGTGAGAATGGCATTTTCTTGCACGTGTTACTTAAATGCCTTGGTGTTAATGATAAAGAAATACACCTGTGATGGCTGTAAAGTACAGGTGGCTATCTTGCAAGATACTCAGAGTGAAGTGGACGTTTTTAGACCTGTAGCAGTTCTCTGATTCTTACTCTCTGATCACATCAAATCTGAAACTTAAGCAGGTTAAAATTGACAGTAATTTGGACAGAGGTCTCCATAGAGATGCAATCTTCTGAAAAAAGTGATCTTTGTTAGTTGCTGTTCTGCACTTTTCCCTCTGAATAAGAAGTAACCTCCAATGCTTTGGAATAACATTGAGCGTTGCACAGCAGAGCTCTTGAACTTGTCGTTCCTGCCTTTTGAATTAGTTCCTGTTACGTGTAGTCTCTGTGATACCGAACTTTGTCCTGGCTCACCGATGGCAGGGTTGTCTGCTGGAAGTTCCCTTGCGCTGGTAAACACATTCGTTTTCCCGGTTGAAGTGGGCAGTGGTTTGTTGCATAACCGCTGGTCATGACTTCTGCTCCTTTCACTGAAAGATCTTTCTGGGGAAAGAATGGGTAATGCTCTTGGCTAAGTTTATGAAAGCGTCCCGAGATCCTCCACAAGCTATCATTTCTATAGTGTTAGTAATTCCATAGAAAATATTTTGAGAGTTGTGAGAGGCTACGTGTAAACAGCTAAAAAGTAACAGAAACACGTGTTGTTTCCTTTGTTTTCTTTCCCGTTTCTGTAAATGGGAATACAGGCATGTTACGGGATCCTGAAGGTGCCAGAGGGCAGCTGGCTGTGCAGGACCTGCGCGCTTGGCGTTCAGCCCAAGTGTTTGCTGTGTCCCAAGAAGGGTGGTGCCATGAAGCCGACCCGGAGTGGCACCAAGTGGGTCCACGTTAGCTGTGCTCTGTGGATTCCAGAGGTAGGTGCCGATCCTCTGGGAGTTCAGGGCAGCAGTGATTCTAGGAGAGAAGAAATCCATTAAAACCATTGCTCAGCCTAGTGTGTGCTGCTACACTGAGAGTAGCATATATATGGTAGTTCTTAGGAAGACAGTATAAAAGATTTTCAATTAGATCTACAGTCTGGCAGCATGAAGCATCATCTGTAAAGAAAGTAATTACGTTACGTTTGTCAACCAAAATTAGGCCTCAAAAAATTAGGCCTTTGCTGCTGGCAAAGCTCATTGAACAAGCACACAAAGTACTGTTTTATTTTGTAAATGGAATGTTAAAGGTGTATCAGGGAGGTTTGTATGTGACAGTGAGAATTCCTGTGGGTTCTCATAATCGAAATATTTGTCCTGAATGATAAACTGGAGGGCTTCACCGTGAAACTGTTTTGTTCATGCAGCGAGAAACTGATTTTTTAAAAAAGGAATTTTTTTAGTTTCGTATAAACTGAGGAACTTGGAACACGGTAATTTTGTGTATGCACTCAAGGAATTTGATTTCTTGGATGAAATAGTTTCCCTTTTCAGTTAACAGTGTAATAGTCACTCTGTGTTTTTCTAACCTTTTTTCTCTTAGGTGAGCATTGGAAGCCCAGAAAAAATGGAGCCCATTACAAAGGTATCTCACATTCCCAGCAGTAGATGGGCACTGGTGTGCAGCCTTTGTAATGAAAAAGTTGGAGCTTCTATACAGGTAATACAATCACACAAATGTCCGTGTGTTTTGTTTTGTTGGTTTTTAGCAGATAGACAAAATGTGTATCTGCAGGAAACTTTCTTTGATTACCTGTTCGTTACTATGGATTAATTGCACACAAAGTGCTTTTGAATGTTAGTGTGCTCTTACTTTCTAGTACAATTTTAATAATAATAGCCAGGTCATCCCATAAGACTTCCTAATTTCTAGATACACTGATAATGCTTAATTACATTGAAATTTTGAATGTCCTGAGCTTGCCCAGCTCTTGGTGAAGTCAGTGGAAGTGAACACCTCCACTTTGATAAAGCTAGTTGTACCTTTGAGTTTCTAATTTTAGGTACTACTTAACAGTGGACTGTTCTGGCTGTAACTGGTTTTTCTGTAACTGTTCTATTCTTGGTCCAGTTTTTAAGTTGCTGAGGACAGTATCTGACCATTTAATATTAGGCTTTTTGAGCAATAGGAAAGAACCAGATTGTTTGACCAGTCTGCCCTGAGATTCAAGCAAGCCACAAGCTGAGGAAATGTGCCCTATTTCTCCCATTGGTTGTGCGTAGATTCTGGAGCTCTTGGTGTTTCTAAAGGGAAGAGCATTTCCTGGGTGTGAGTTTCCCAGTTCACAATTGCTGTAGAAGCAGTGCCACGTTATCGTTCTGGCTTCTGGTACTCGCTTGAGCTCAGGGATGACGATTGCCCAAACCAGCAAGATGGGGAAGAATCAAAACAAATGTCTAGTCTTCATAGTTTGAAAAAGAATGATTTCCGTATGCAATAAATAATGAAACAATAAAGGCAGCGCTGTAAAGCCATTTGTTCCATACCAGCAACTCACATTCTTGGGTCAGTGCCAGTTTGTCTCATTACATACTTGCGAAATTCTCTCTGCAGTCTCAATTGGATGTGGATTCAGCCTTTCTCACCGTAGCCTGTGAATTGTCGCTGTTAAAAACTGAGTTGATCTGCACCAGAGTGTTTCAGACTGGGCAGTGTGGTGTCACGTGCATATTTTATTGTGTTGTTAGCTGTAAAGCACTTGCAGATCCTTTACAGTGCAAAATCACTCAGAAATGTTAAATAATTTCAAGGACAATTTCAAAACCTAGAGAGACTGAGAAAACCCATTACCAAGCTGCAGATTTTGGAAAGAGGCAATACTTGGTTTCCTGAGACACGAGACAAAACTTTGATGTACTTTACTTGAGAACAAATGACAAGAGCACGGACAGGTGACCCACTTGGGGCAGTGTTGTGATTGTGTAGAAAAAGACAGTAAAGTGTAGCTTACTGTTGTGGTAATGTTCTTCACCTTCAAAGTGCTTTGTGTACCTCAGTGAAGTGATATTCAGAAAGCTCCCTGCAACAGACAGGAAGATATTACTGTCTCATGAGAAGTCAGAAGAAGTAGAGCTCTTTCTGTTCTGTGGCTAGCCTAGTTACAGGGTCTGTGATGGTAAGACCAGCATTAAGGCACAGGAATTTCTAAAGTCTTACATTTTTTTAAAATTAGGGTTTATGCATTTCCGTTTTTCCTCTGCTCTGAGTCATTTGATGAGGTTGCCGGAGAAAGTTGTGAAACAGCAATGCAGCAGTAGTTCCAGTGAAACCTATCAGTCCGTTTCCATTTAAGGAATGTGTAAAATAGTAACTGTTAAGTAGAGAAAATAAATCTGTCCATAGCATATAAATTTGCAATTGTAATACCTCCTTGCAGAGCTGTCCCCTTCCTCTTGGCCGCTGTTTTGTAGTTGAAACTGTTTTGTGCATTCTCCAGGCCTGTTCTGAGGGGCAGCTTACTGTAGTTTTAAGTTGAACATTTGAGTATTTATGTATGTTGGTGTGCAGGGGAGCGGGGAGCATCCTTCCATATTTCTTCTGATAGCACCTCTCCCCTTCTAGTGATGACACAGGATGACATGCAGGCACGTTGGCTGCCACTTCAGACAGTTCTACATTTGAAATGACAGGGGAGAGACCAAAAAACTAGTTGTGCCTGACATTTTATAGGAGTTGTGTAAATCTTGGTGTCATTAAAGCTAGCAGTGAGAAATATTTAGATTTGTGTTGTGAAATTCTATACAGCAGAGAAGAACATTATAAAAAACCACCGTAATAGAAAGGAATTAGCATTAACTGGATGAACTGAGAGAGAGAGAGATCCTCCAGAGATGTTACGAGATGTGCACCACAATTAGAAAATCCAGCAGCTGGAAGTATGTGTCAGACTGGGCAGAGAACAGCTGCAGTAAGCTGGGAAAAGGGGGACTGTATGATTCTTTTTTATTTCCTTCTGATGAGACAGGCTTTCCCCTTCTTCTCCCAATAAAACATTAACCACACTAAGAGCTATTATTCTAAATGATAGCAGCCTGGAAACCATGGCTAAAGTACTGGGCTGTGTTTGCCCTGTTTGTTAGTAAGACAGGAACAGGAAAAAGATGCTTTGGTATCTTTTTCTTTCTTTTAATATGTTGATTTTATTAAAGAATGTTCATTTCAAACTTGTGCAGTTTAAAACCGTGGTGTACTTTTATATGCCATCTGGCTGCTGAGTCAACCTGAGCTGGAAAACCCAGAGGAGAAAGATATTTGGCTTCTTTACAAAGTACTGTATAAACATCCCAGTGCAAGGCATTTCTCTTTAAGGTTAGGTGACTCGGGTTAAGCATAGTTTTGTTTCCTCCTAGTTAATAGCACTAATGCTCATTTCCACTCCACATTCTTTCCACTGGAGGTAGAGGTGTGAGCTGATACAAATGCATGTGTATGTGTGTGAGCCTATACATACCTATATATATATTTAAATCTTCCAGTTTGTGGCTGGTAGTAGCTATGACAGCATTTTGCAAGAGGAAGTTACATATAATTGAAATGAAGTGCTAAATCAGCTGAACTAGTGCCCAGTGCTCTGTGACAGCTGGGTTCACTGGGAGGGAAGAAAAATGACAAAAAAATTGAATTTCCTGTTCTCCTCGTGCCCCGGGTGAAGTGAAGGCTGTAGTCAGTGAAGTAGTGATTGACAAGGATTTAATATTTGACATTACAAAACTGGGATAACAGGAAAAAAAAATTCTGCTTGGTTGAGGCCTTTTGGGTAGCAGGAGTCCAGGTGCTGAGAAAGACTTTTAATTAAAAAGTACCAGCCAAAAAGTACCAGCCTGGCCTGGAGCCACCAAGATGTTTTCCTCCCTCCCTCATGCTCAAAGGGGCAACATTTTCCTTTGGTGGCCCCAGTGACGGTTAAGTTCGCTCCGTGTGGATTTGCTGGTTTTTGAATAGCGTGACTGGGCGTGGGAGGGTTAACCACTCCTGTCCCCCTGGATCGCTGTCTGGCCTGAAAGCACCAAATCATAAACCTAATTAAAAGAGAGCAAGAAAGCACATGCATCTTCGAAGCAGCGTGCAGTAACAGGGTGGTTCTTCCAAAGCAGTCCTGGCTGCTTGAATAGTTCTAGGCAGTGTGGCTTCTGAAATTTATATGTGATTAATTTTAACTTAATTTCTGTAGTGTTCTGTGAAGAACTGCAGAACAGCCTTTCACGTCACCTGTGCGTTTGACCGTGGCTTGGAGATGAAGACCATACTGGCGGAGAACGATGAGGTGAAATTTAAGTCGTACTGTCCCAAGCACAGCTCCACAAAGAAAGCAGACGACGAGACTTTCAACGAAAGCCCAAGCCAGGAGAATGGGAACGGGATTCAGGACAGCTCTCTTCCTGCCCACGTCGACCCTTTTCACAGCATGGATCAAAACCAGGAGGAGGCCCACAGAGTCAGCCTCCGCAAGCAAAAGCTCCAGCAGCTAGAGGATGAGTTCTATACGTTTGTTGAGTCTTTGGAAGTGGCTAAAGCGCTGCGGCTGCCTGAGGAGCTGGTGGGATTCCTTTACGAGTACTGGAAGCTGAAGAGAAAAGCCAACTTCAATAAGCCTTTGATTACCCCAAAGAAGGATGAAGAGGACAATCTGGCTAAACGGGAACAGGACGTTCTGTTCAGAAGATTGCAGCTCTTCACACACCTGCGGCAGGATCTAGAGCGGGTAAGCCACTGCACTGCCTGTGCCTGCGCGAGGTGCGCTGGCCTTCCTTAGCGAGTTTCCAAACCGCGCTCCCCGGTACCGCTCTTGCACACAGGCGTTCCACGCTGCGTCTTAACCCAAAGTTGTGTTTTCAGAGAAGATGGTTAACACTAAATTTCTACAGAGCACAGCGGTTACATCCATTACCTTTTTCAAATGGAGGGTTAGTCCACAGGCCCAGCAGGTCTTGGTGTGTAGCATCCAATCTCCTTATAACTGGATGGTTGTATTTCTGCTTAGGCTTTTTTACTTATCAACATGGATGGCTGTGGACTGTACTGCAACCTCCAGCTGCAGCTTTTTTAGCCTTTTCTAGCTCGGTGGGATAGCTGTTACCTAGTATCTTTTGGTTCTGCTCCGTGTGCTCAAGATTTTTTAATCTTCTCTTTGGTGAGCTAAATAAGTTGTTTGTCACCATGTTCACTGGATCTTAAACTGTTCTGTATGTATCCTTTCCATTTTTAAGTGTGATGTCAAAACAGGATACATGATTCTAGTAATATTTTTTAATATTTACTACTTCGTTGTTCCCACTGATTGTACCTCCAGGGTAACTGGGGTGAAAAAAAATAAAAAATGAGGCCTATGTTTTTTTTTTTTCTCCTGTTTATTGATTATGAATGACATGTGTCATCCATCTAGAAACAGATTTTGAAATTGTGTCATCCAGTTCAACTAATGAAACAGGTACTTCTGTGGACATGACACATCTGTTGGGCAGCTTGGATCAGACGAGGCAAAGAGCAAAAGGCTGTGGACTGTATCAGAAAGGGTACCAGGCTAGATGGATCCCGTCTAATTCACATCCACAGAGTAGTGACAGTTAAAGTACTGGCTGTTCTGGGACTGGAAGCCTGAAATAGAGTAGGATCTCAGCAAAACCAGTCACACTTCTTGAACTTCTCCTCCTTAATGGTTGTGAGATCAGCCTGCAAGGTTGTAATCCACAGAGCACCATGCTGTATGCAGCCACACTGAACTGGGAGAGGAGCCTTGGAAATACCCTCGTATACTTCTCTCATCTGGGAGAGAAGTAACTTCTAAGCTCTACACGAGCGGTTGTTGTGAAACTTAAACAGCTGTCTAGATTAGACAGTCACATTTTAAGGGTAGAAATGTACTTTTCTTCTAAAAAGACCTGATTGATAGTGGAAATTATTTTATTATTGTTTCCAGTTCCTGCTACCTTCATTGTGCTGTGGCAGGAACAGACTGGCCTGCCTTCCTTTGATCAATCATACTGCAGTGGCAGGGTCATCAGAAAGACTGGTGCTGTTGAACAGCTCTCTGCATTTTCATGCTATTAATTAAGTATAATTTTCTGTTGTGTCTCAAACAGTAAGCAGCAAATGGTGCTAGGCTATTTAATACTGAGTATATTTAAGCATTTCCACCACTTCTATAGATTTCCTCTGTGTATATGTGTGTTTACATATACACGCACACATCATGCAGGTGTTCACAGGACTTTTGTGCTGTAGGCCTCCCAAATGTGATGGAGTGATCTGTTAATTAAATGTTATTTTAGACTCTTTTCTAAGCATGTTGAAGATGGTTAAATTTAAATACCTTACTAACTTGTTTAAATGGTGTCTGGAACTTAAACTGAATTAATTCAAAGCACAGATTGACAACATAATAGAAACATAATTCTTGTGAAACTAATCAACTTAATGTGTTCTAGGTGCGTAATCTCACTTACATGGTGACCCGAAGGGAAAAAATCAAGAGATCTGTTTGCAAAGTTCAAGAACAGATATTTAATGTTTGCGCAAAGCAGCTGGAACAAGACAGAGTTTCAGGTATGCTTTGGTGTTATCTTTGTCACCTAAGACCACAGGCATAAGCAATGAGGGTTTGGTTACAGGCCAATGAGTAATTTTGAAGGACAAACAGGACCTCAGTTACTCTTGTTAAGATCTTGTGTAGTCCACCACGTATCAGCAGATTGGAAGAAACAAATGAGAATCTGTGTAGCTCTAATAGTGGGCACATTGCTATAGAGATGGGTAAGTCTGCGTTCTTATCCACGGGGCACTGGATGGCTTGCTGCTTCAGATGTTTCTGGTGTGATTCTTTGACTCCTTGTGACAGAAAGACCCTGACTTACATCGAGGTGCCATATGGTACCCAGTAAGTCTGTGGTGTATTAGTGCTGCTGCATTAGTGTTCTATATGTGCTGCTTTGCACCATAGATGGCAGATTAAAGAAAATGAATTTTGAAAAAGTAGCACACTGGTTTTAAAACAACATGTTTTTTTCTGCCTAATCTCATTGACAGTAGTCGTTTCTCAGAAGGATGAACAAAGTTCCTGCATTAACTAGATTATCAAAGTATTCAGTAACCCATAAACCATATTTTAGACAGAAGAAATCAGATCCACTTGCTGGTTGCTGCCCCCCCTCTCCCCCCAGAGGAGTCTCTCTGTCTTGCTGGATACAGTCATGCTAGGATTTGTCTTTGCTACGTGTGTAATTAGGTAATTAGGTGCAGCACGGCTACAGGAAAGTAAACTACAGCAGTATGTTGTGAAACCACAGCATAGCCGTGTAATGGTGGTGTAAAGGTGATGGAGAGGCAGCCAAATACCCATTTATGCTGAAGAACGTCAGGCCTAAGGAACAGAGGTAAAACAGGTACATTCAAAAGTGGTTTTTACCCAGACACAGAACTGCTTAACTTTAACTTGATTTGCTTACATTTAGGTGTGCCTTCCTCCGTCTCCTCAGTGGAAAACACGGTGTTGTTCAATAGTCCATCTTTGAGCCCTAATGCCCCTAAGATAGAGGATTTGAAATGGCATTCTGCATTCTTCAGGAAACAAATGGGCACATCTCTAACCCACCCTTTGAAAAAACCACACAAGAGAGACAGAGTAAGAAACAGCTCTGGGAATGACAGCAAATCCATGCTGAGGCAGCCCAGCCAAAGGGAAGGTGGTGCAGCTCCAGGGGGCTTTTTAAATTTTGACAAGACCTTTGCAGAAACACGGATTGTATCAGCCCAGCAGAAAAATGGCATAGTTATACCAGACCACAGAAAAAGAAGAGACAATCGTCCACAGTGTGAGGCGATCAAGGCAGAACTAAAGGAAAAGACTTCTAAACACAACCACAAACCACTGAGACCCACAGAACTCTCTCAGAGGCAACTGGAAAATAAAAGGGCTGTGAACCACTCCAGTGGTAGGTCAGCACCTGGCACACGGAGGGATATAGTGCCTAAATGCAACGGAGGTCTTGTCAAAGTAAACTCTAATCAGACAGTAGTTAAAGTGCCTACAACGCCCACAAGCCCAGTGAAAAACTGGGGCGGATTCCGAATTCCAAAGAAGAGGGAGAGGCAACAGCAGGGCGAGAGCCTGGAGGACACCTGCCGCCAGAACTCCAGCTACCCCTACCTGGGCATGGGCAGAGTTACACCGAAGGACAGGGCAAAAAGCAAGCTAAAGCCTGACAGTGAGAATGATGGGTACATCCCTGATGCTGAAATGAGCGACTCCGAGACTGAAGTAGCTGAAAAAAAGTGCAGGCAGCAGAGACTCAGTCCGAACAGCCCTATCAGTGGAAGGACGGACATTATCAGGAGGAGCATCCTGGCATCCTGACTGGACACAGAGACACGGTGTCAGCACCGTGCTCAGTAGAGTCACTGCCCACAAGCCAACTCCACATTATTTATTGGTGTGAGAGAGGAGAGTTCTTAAGACGTGGCTACAGACTTGACAAATTGATCACCCATTATTCCTGAGTTGTATAAACATGTTTACATGCACTTAAAAGCTGGGTTTTTTTTTGACATCTCCCCCTAGTTTCTCTGAGAAGTCTGAATCTCCTTTATTTGCAACTTTCCTGAGTAAGCAGAGAATTAACATTACTACTAAAATAGGATTTGTGAGGAAAACTAAAATAACTCACAAAAACCTGTTAGAAGGGGCTAGGGTGGGTAGGGGGAACTAGACTGCATTCATCCCTTTTAGCTAAAAAGCACTGATAAAATTTTACTCCCTCCCCCTACCTTCTGGAAAAGCACAAGCTCTCAATTTAACTAGTGGGTACTGAACAGACGATGGTTGTTTAACCATGCTGCACTGCTAAACCCCATGACAAATGGCCACTTGCCTTGGATGGTGGTAGGTCTTTCTCCTGTTTGCGGAATGTTTTCTGTTTTATTCAGTTTGAGCATAGACGGCAGCTCAAAACCCTCCACAAGCTCCAGAGTTTACATGTAAATACACCTGTGAGATGATGAGATTTAACCATGACGTTACACTGGAGAAGGAGGACGGGACAGGTCAGGGCTGCAGCTGCCTTACAGTGCAACAGCTTGAAAAAAGAAGCACGGAGGACGCTCTCAGATGGCTCAGTTCTGAGCGAGGGGACAGGCTTGTGGGTTACTGCACCCCATGGAACAACCCCTCACTGTTCAGACAGGTACCTGCCTCCAGGAATGTGATGACAAAGTAAGAAAAAAATTTCTAAAGCACTAGTCAGTAGGATTTCCCAAAGCCCACCGCATATGCACTAATGGTATGTATTGGGAAAGCCAGGCTTATGACACTAAAGGGTTGCTTTAAAATGGATATGAATATATATTTTTAAATAGAATAAAATGGAAAGGCAATAAATTGTGATTAGCTCTTTACAGTCAAAGAAAAAAATATTTCATTCTATTCTGGACTAGATTTGATGGAAGAGGGAACTCGTATTCTGATTGTGTACTTTTTTAATAATTGCAAATGGCAATAACTAGTAAGTTATGAGCAATAATATTAACAGATTGTTAGGATACTGTTTAGTACCATGTAGAGTGCACATATAACAGTGGAGTGGTAGGAGCCTGTACGTTTTGGAATTCTGCATAGATGTAAGTCAGGTATGTACTGGTGAAAAAGTTGCAGCAGTGATGTGTTAAGACAGACGGGCATAAAGAACCCCCTTTCCACCCTCCACCTCCACTCCTAGCCTGCTGTTACTACATCCACTCACTTTTTAATGTTAGACCCTTGCCTCTTGAGCAGGGAACATTTAAAACACAGTAGAACTCTACCGTGAGTCTTCCAGAGGATTCAATCAAAAAAACCCATGCCATTTTGCTATGCAAGTTATTCCTTAATTAAATATTTCAACAGAATGCATCCCTATCATTTGTTTTAAAACAACTCGGAAGTCTTAACCTTTTGGGATGATGTTGAGAAGGGGGACTGTTGTGTAAGTTAATGTACTTTTAATGTACTTTTAAAACACTATTGCTAGTCCCAAGACATTAGATGAACTTCAGTACTTACAGAGGTGAAAGTCAAACAGAGCACTGGTGAACCTGAAATGATGTAGTCACTTTTGGGATGTGTTAAAAGACAAGTACTTATTTGATCAAACAACAACAGACAGACAAAAGGTAAATGCAGGTAAGTTCTACTCAGCATACCACAGTGTCTTCCAGACAGGCACTGTTATTTTCTGTATAAAAGAAGCTCATGACCATATAGGGAACCGTTTGTCAAGCCATAAATGGAATAATCTAAATTTTGATTCTAGTAAGCATTTAACCTCGCACCATTTTGGAAGAGGTACCTTGTTAATTTGCACTATTCTGAATGCTAACATTGTGCAGAGTTAATGCCTTACCTGTTTTGCTCCCCGACATTTAGGTTAATAAGCTTTCTAATGTTTCAAGTTCAGCTGAACCAAAACCAAAAAAGCTGTTAGGAAGACCGCAGTATGACCAGCTCTGTAGGTTAGTTGTGTCTCCCGTGCTTAGCGCTCAGCAGAAGAGGTGTCGTAAGTACAGCAGTGACGATACAAACCCTCCCCTGTATTTTACCGGGATAGAACCATTTGCTGAATTTCTGTTTTTAAGCATAACCTTTCCTTGTGCAGACTGACCAAGAGATCTTTGATTATGATCGGTGTGTTCTGTCCAGCTGTAGGTTAGTTGAACTTCTGTCAAGTTGCCTGGAATGCCGTTTGTTAGGTTACAAACTCACACAAATCTAAATGAAGGGTTATACGTGTTGTGTATAAATCTGAAGTTCAGAAATTTGAGATAATTGTCATTACGTTTGTAAAATCTTGTACAGAAGATTTTTCACTATGTGCCTAGCTTTGGTGTCCATTCAGCTGAAATCAATTAAAAAAGGTGCATGAAGAGAAACAGATAGAAATAAAAAGTATATGTAGAGATGACTATTTTATATTACATGGCCCAATCCTGTATTTATTTTCTCCCTTTTTTGAAGTATTTATAAAGACCTAGTTGAAGACGGCTGTATTTTTTGTTAAAATATTCAGTAGAATTTTGTGCCTTTTTGTCTGTATGTGAATAAATGCTGTACATTTTTGCAGTTTCCTTGCCAGCAGTGTTTTAGGATTTGCAGCAGTTACTTTGTTTGAAATTTTACATAAATGCTTCACTGCAATGATCTGAACAATTTCATGGTTTAAAAAAAGCATTTAATTTGGATTATTACAGGTATCAAAGTGCACACTGCAGTTGCAAGATTGGTTTTTTTTTTGAGGAATAGTACTGGGTCTTGTTACTGACAGCTGTGCCTATCCCATCAACAGAAAACCGTACGCTTTTTTTCCTTGAGATCTTCAAAGAGGTGTTGCTTACCTCAGCTAGTTTACATTTGTTGATATGTGATGTCCTTCCAAAGTCCATAATCGTCATATATGTTCCACTGCAAGAGGAACGTGAGGTTTCTTACCTGTAGATCTTCAAGGTAAGCAAGCTGAATATACACCTGCACTATAAACTGCTTGTAGTCAAGCCAGTGCCGACAGCGTTTGCTGCCATAGCAGGATCTCTAGGAGACGAGGTGTGAAGGGCACAGTAGGTCCTTTCCTCCTGCTTCCTCTAAACTCAAGATGTGGAAACATGGAAGGGACTTGGAGCAGAGCAAGAGAAGGACAAGCCTGTGAAGGTGTGTGTCTACCAATACATCTTGAAAAACAGCTATGGGTTAAGTAATTTTTCTCAGATTTGTACTTGTATCACATGCATTCACATTGTGGGCAACTGAGTGGCACCCCTCAAAAACATGCTTCAAAGAGTGAAGGCTAAAGGATGGCTCTCCTAAGAGTTACTAGTACAAGCTCTTCAAGGTGTGAATAAAAGTCTGAAAGAGGTTCTTGCACCTGCTTTGTAGATCTTGCTTGCAGCAGCTTCTCTGAAAGGCACTGCACTGCTGGGGTTAGCAGAGGAAGACTGGGTCAGAGTTGAGGGCAGCTTGCTAACCACCTAAAATAGACTATGAAAAAGCTTCTTGTATGCAGTGACAAGTCTTGCAAGATCTGGCCTATGCCAGAAGATATAGAGGGCTCTTGTGAAGACCCAAACTGAAACTTCCGCTACCTTCATAGTCAAGTTTCTCTGACCTTTTGAATGGAAGTAACTATTCACCTATAAACTTCTTAAATAAACATAGTCAAGAACAAAGTTTCACTTAATGGGAAACATTAATATCACACTAGGGAATCTTTAAAACACCGGAGAACTGGTGGGGTGGGAAAGGAAGGTAGGGGGAACAAAAACTTTTTCGTGGAAGAGTGACAAGAAATACATAGAAACAAATGTAAAACCACCAAGACAGATGGTTGAAAAACCTGCTGCTCAATTCCATGAAACAATCTAATATGAGGAAAAGAGCAAAACTTAACCTAACCAGCAAGCCTCAAATTTTAATTGCCTCAGCAAGTGCCCGTCCTCTCAAAGTCCAGTTTGTGAGCAACATGACAGCAGCCTCCTGTAGAACCCAAACGGAAATGAAAGGTAGTGGTAGGATGATGAGCTTCATTTGACCACGATCCCTTTTGTGGTTCAGATAGATGTATTTGGTCAATTTTTAGCTGCTCAGGATTAGGCAGACAGAGGAAAGGGGGAAATCTCTTTTCTTTCCTGTGTGATCTCCTGCAATTGCTCTGCTGCCCCTTAACTTTACTATGGGGTGTTTGTGTCATCACTGCAATTCATATTCTGGCAAATAACCACTACACAAGAGCTAGACTACAAGCTGAAACGGATCTACCCATACTTAAAAAGGAACCCAGCAGGTGGCCTTCTGTGCCTCAAGGAACAATTACACAAATACTCAAAAACTTACCTGCCATTTTCAGACAGGTTTCATTTCACAGCTACAGCCTCTCTTTAAGGAGTGAATGGGATTAATAGCTCACAAAATCTTCCAGGTGGTCTGTCATCATCATCTCAGATGTGCATTATGCAAATGAAAATAAGGTGCTTGGTACTTACCTCCCTCTGCATCATATACATGGTTGATGGATGAAAATCTCACTGCAACAGACGTTTGGAGCTTCTGGACAATCTATCCATGTTGCTTTGAAAAAATCTTTTTAAGTCTTTTAGCAAAATTAGAGATTGCAATGGATACAGGCATTTATCAAACTCAGCAAGCACTAGTAAAGAAGGGTGTACAACTGTAGGAAACAGTAACTTCTGGGGTAAGCAGAAATTTTTCTTGAGGTTGCATCCATCTTGAAGGCTCTACTTGAACAGCCAGGTTTTCAGGAGGTGGCACAAATTCTTGCTTCCATGTGGTGATCGACCCAGGTCTGTCCTCTAAAATGCAAATCTGGTGAAGATCCA